TTTCAAATGTCTATTTTGAAAAACCAATTTAATTAGAAATATTGTCGGCATGTGGCTGTGTGTCAAGGAGCTTACTAAATACACAGGCCAGGACTAAGCTCATTATAGGAGCAGCGGAGCATACTCAAATGCAGGCTCATTGGGGGCGCTGGTCCGAGAAGTTAATGTGGCTCGAAAATTGCCATAAACCTTTTTGAATGAATACAAATCATTATCACTTTGTTGCTGGCAGCCTTAACCGTAATTAAACCATCTCAACTCAACTCAAGGGGGACAGGCAGGACTGGCAGGACAATGGTCGTAGAGTTGTTTGCCAGCTAATAAGACATTCTGGTCGACAGCTTGATGAAGGAGACCAGGCCACTTGGAGGGTCCTTTCTGGATGTTGATGTTGATGTTGATCCTGTTGTTGGTGCACAGAGAAAAATAGCATCCAAAATAGGGTAAAAAGTTTAAGTAGGATTGTTGTATACGTAACATCCATATTTTTTATCATTTAATTTTTCTCTCTAAATCGCCTTTAACCTTACACTTACCTATTTTTACTTACAATTTTGGCTCTATTTATTGTTATGAATTTCCTCAGTGTAATCCTGCTGCTGTTGCCTGTCACAATGTTTATTAAAACAAATGTCCCGAACAAAGGGCCAAATTTGACCCAGATTTTTTGTTTGAGCTGGCATCTTGCGAGTATGCAGAATGGCTTCATCATTTCTATAAACTTTTCTGGCCTGACGACAAAAGGCGGTGAGAGGTCTGACCCCAACCTAAAACAATTAAGGCCTCAAACCGAAAGCAGAGAGCAGAGAGTGTGAGGAGGTCAAAGTTCACTGCCGCGGCAACCTTTTGCCCCGCCCACACCGTCTCGAAAATCTTAATTATTTTAATTGCAATGCAATCATCAATGGCTGGGCCCCCGAATATAATGCCTGCCATTAAGTGTGAATGGGAATGCCGGGCAAACAATACCAATCGCATTTCACGCAGCACCGCCGTTGACAGCTGCTGAAAAGTAGGCTGTGGTAATTTTCATTTCCACTTATTTTTCTTTGTTTGTCCTGCGGCTCTTATCAAAAGTAATGGCTGATTGTTTGGTTAGCCCAAGGCTGCGTGAATAGGGAAATATTGGTGGAAAATATTAGCATAGAGTTGGGCCAGTAATCCCCCGAAGGGTTCTTTGTTTGTGTTTATTAAATGAATGGGTAATGTCAGAACTAGACCTTGCGGTGTTCCTGCTTCCAAAATTCCTTGTCAAATCTGATGATCCTATTAGGCTTAAGTTCTCTACACTCTCAACCTTCTGTCTATACTTAAATTTATTTTTTAGCCTTTAATTGCCCTGATAGATTCAACTTAGTGTGAGTTGCAATTAGTGTTGCCAGAGTGACTGGTTAATTATGCAGTAATTGCACTTAATATGCATTTCCGCTGAATTGAGCTCGATTTGAGTTTCTATTGCCCTCAATTACACATGCATGTATGGGGCCAAAAGCACACATCGATTTGTGCAGAGAAAAAGTGAATTTAGGTGCAGGCAGTACAATAAAGTTGTCAACTCAAATATTTACTCGTATATGAAATTTTCAGGCAGCTAGTCAGGCAAACAGCACGACACCAAATTGAGCGCATTTTCTGGGAAAAGTTTTTTGTTTTTTAACTGGGGTGACCCCAATTGCCCATGGGGAACATGAAAAATGCACAATGGTTGTGTAGCGAAACTTACATACCCTTTTGATTTAATTTAAGGGATATAAAGGGGCAAAACTAATTTAGTAATTTATGTTTCCAAGCTTAAATGTTAAGTTAAATAAATAAATTATATTTTATATGGTGTGTTTACAATTTTAAAGAAATATGCCCCACTTTTAATTAAAGAACCTTAAAACTACGGGCTCTGTTTTAATGCTATTTTCCTGCATGGCCAAACAAATTTTATAAAATGTAAAGCTGATTTCCCGGGGACTCTACCTGTCCCTCCACCCCCTCCCCCCAATGCTCCCTTTTGAGTTGAGTGCCAAACGGCAACCGCATATGAAAATAAACATAGACAATTATTTGTTCGGGCGGGAGAAGTTGCAACCAAAATGGCTGCTCTGGCTGCTGCAGTTTCTAAATAGAATTTTATTAAAATCGCTTGTTAAAAACTTTTTCACATTGAAAAAACATGCAACATCGGGCAGAACAAAAGCCAATCAAAACTTTTCAACGGGCGAAGCTCAGCGAGGGGTAAAAAGTAAAGTAAATACAAACTTCGATGCAATCGGCTTGTGCATAGATTTGGCCACTAAGCCATGCAATTACCCAATCACCCCAACCGATCCCCTAAAAACCCCCCCACCTCATATCCTGTATCCAACAGTCCAGAAATAGAGCATATGGGGCCAGCTGTCAGAGATCGAGATCCCGCGATAAGTCGACATTTTGTGCATTGGCAGGATAACCAATTCACAGATGAGGACAGCCAAGTGGGAGAATTTTAATTATTCTAGGAGCTGAAAAATCATTTGGTATACAGTTTGGAATCACTTTTTTTAACCAGTAACTAAGCTTTATTTAGTAAATAAAACAAGAATTATCACAATAAGTTTAGAATATAGTTTTTTACACACTTCACTAAATTGATATCAGAGAGCTCAGTAAGGACTATTTATGTTGTGTTTATTTATAATATGAACATATAATTATTTATTCAAGATAACTTGCCATGCAAATTATTCACCAGCGTTATATCTTTGATCAAGTTCTTTCTGTGTTAACAATTTAAAATCTCACATATTATTTTATTGCCCACCACTGTGCCGTAGATGGCCTACCTTTACAAAACTGTTGGCAGTACAACGTGGCAGACAAGTAGTTAGCATAAATTTGCCATAAATTTGCTAACAAGTGATTTGTGTTGTGTGCGCTGTAGCTTTTGGGCCATAAATTAAGCGTCACTTTTTATTTAGCATACAGCTGAAAAAAGGTAAAATGTAAACAATTATCTGCGTGCCCGCAGCTGCAGCCGCAGGAGCCGCAGGATTCGCCGGATTCGCCGGAGATGCCAACAACTCGCACACACACACATGCGTTCGCAGGACAGGCGACTGAGATTTATGCGATACGCACACTCTCACAGCCTCTCACATGCAGTCACATAAAAAGTGCTGCCAAAAGGGAAAGGAATTCGCAGGCTTTTGATTAATTGCCGCCACATTTTACTCCCCCTGATGGCTTCACTTGGCACCCTTTTCCACACCCCAGGCATTCTGTTTTTCCCCCCCAGCTGCTCGACTCTTGTGTTTTTCTTCTGGTTCTGGCCAGCTGCATGGTTTATTTGCAGACACGTAGCACTCGCAGTCGCGGTCCCTTTTGCCATCATAAATATCGTAAAAATCCTAAAAAGTATATATATATAGATGTGGATGTGGATGTCTGTGTGTGTTGTCGTTTGGCGTCGTCTAGGAGCTGCGGGCCAAAACGGAATTTATGCGCAATTTATGCCTCACACTCGGATTTTACTGTTACAGATTGTATTGAATAGATATATGGAAAGATTTTGCCAGCATATGCCGGGCAGAATCTTGATAATAAACGACTGCTTGCCATTCAATTGCAAATTTCCCCTACATTGAAATATTGTTTTCTTTTCGGTTGGACAGCCGGGCAAAAGTGCAGGGATATTGTGTATTGTCCTAAGCTGAAGCTAAAAGTTCGCTGGGACTCGACTGGGATTATGATATTTAGGAGGAGCGCGCTGCCGTCGGGGGAAATCCCTCGACTCGTGCCATTTTCCATCCTCTGCTGATGCTGCTGCTGCTGCGCCACATTGCGTATACGCCGCATTAAACATTTAAGCACGGAGAATGTAATTCGTTTTTATTGGCAAACGCAGCTGATTTAACAATTTCTCTGCCGTTCAACTTAATTTCAAGTTGCTTGTGATTGTGCCCCTGTGTGTGTGTTTTTTGTTCGTGGTTGTGGCAGCTTCAGTTTGAGTTTGCTGCGCCCGTGTGTCAATATTTGTAAAGAAAGCCGGGCAAGCAAGAAAGTTGAAAGTAACTGCTCGCTCCAGCTTTTTACTTCGTTATTCGTTATTTTTTGTTGGCCAATAAATAAAATCCTTATCAATTGAAAATTGATTGATACACGCGCTTAGGTGCTTGGGTCTGATCCTTCGCAGCAGCAGCTCCAAAATCATCATCTTCGTGAGGCAATAACCCCATATGGACAGCTAATAGATGTGTTGCCTAAATTTGCACTGAGAAAAATATGTTCGTAATCATTTTAGGCCATATAACAGTCTTCATAAATATTACTCAGCTGCTTCACTAACAATATTTCATCGCTTTATCTTGAAATATGTTTGATCTATCTTGATATGTTCATATTTCTTTCATATATTCATATTTTTCTCAGTGTACGTGTGCGTGCCTACATCATCAGCAGAAAAAAGTGCGCAAAAAGTAGATGACGAAATGATTAATGGTCATTTAAGATTAGCTAAAGTCACATACAGACACACTCAAAAAAGGGAAGGTGGAGGAAAATAGAAAATAGAAAAAGGGCGAGGGCGTCGGGAACACGCCCTCCATTTGTTGAGGGGGCGTTGGGGCGGTGGGTGTGTTGGGCTTAGCCCCGCCCATTTGTTTGTTTGTTTGTCTATTTACAGTTAGGTAGCCAATTTGAACTTTGAACCTAGGATCAATCAATCTGCTATTATGTTTATTGTTGCTGCTGTCGTAATTCTTACACGTAATTGCTTTTTGATTTTTTTCTCAACCGTTTTGTATCTGTGCGCCTTTTTGAAAATTGCATCATCATCAAGTCGTTGTCATCGTCCTAGTCCCATCTTGATGGATTGGCAAACATTTGAACAAGACAGAGAGCTCGGACCCATCTTCGGACCGGGCATATGTTAAATTTCGGGCCAAGAAAAAAAAGGGAGTCCTTGAAGCGAGCGGATCCCATTGTATTTGGCTAATGGCGCCGCCCTTTCTCACCCTTCCGTGTATTTTTAGGTATCGTGGATACGCAAAAAGGATTATCATCTGCTTACGGTCGGCTTAACAACGTACAGTAGCGATGAGCGGTTCAGTGCCACGCACTTGAAGCATTCCGAGGTGAGTCCTGCGCAAAGTAATTTGCATTGCTGATGGGCCAAGGTGGCGAAGACGGAGGATGGGCTGATTGCATCGAATCGGAGACCTGCATACGAAATTATGTGCCTCACACTCAGGAAAAAATACACCCAAATTCATCAGCAAACCTTTGGGGCATGATAACTCATGATGCTTTCAGGAAAATTTTAATACTTAAAAGAAAATAAATAGTTAGGTGATATTTTAATTAGTCTTAAAAATTATGTTCATTGAGGTTCTTAAAGTATAAAGCTAATCTTTTTAACTTTACCTTAATAGATTTAATTAAAAATTGCTTCGGAGCAAACTATTATTAAATATTTCCAAAACAAAAATACTTAACATAAGCATAATAAATGTAGTTTATTTAAAATACATCATATTAATTGTAAATTAACTTTTTGGCTTGAAAGTTATCTGATTTCAATATCCATATTATTCTTTTTAACAAGCAACCTATAGATTTTTTAATGGATGTATGCATTGAAATTTAAATCTTTAGGAAGTAGTTACTATTTCTATTTTGGCAGTGCAGTTACCAGCCTTCCATCTGCCGCCTCCTGGTGAATATTTGCAGCATTGTGAACTTTTGCAGTGGTCGGCCTCGAATAGCCGATACGTGACAAAAATTCAGTGCGGAATATGGCACAATAGTTTCGAAGCTGCAGCGCAGCAAATTGACTTCCAGGCGGGCCAATGTCTCTAACCCTTTCTTAATTCTAACCCTTTCTCTTTCTTTTTTTTTCGCCTGCAGGATTGGACACTGCAAATCAAATTCGTGCAGCTACGTGACGCCGGCGTCTACGAGTGCCAGGTGTCCACTCATCCGCCCACCTCCATTTTCCTGCACCTGAGTGTCGTCGGTAAGTAGAGGCCGGAATTGCCTCGGTTACGTCTTCCATTTTCGGTCTATTGCCTTGGTTTCTATTTGGTTTCTATTTCTATTTGCGATTCGGTCTGGGCACTGGTGATTTTCTATAATTTCACGCCTTGATGGGTTTTTCTCTTTCGGAGTAAACAAATGCCGGTGAAAAGTCTGCCGAATGAGTTCTGAGCCCGGTTAGTTTTTGCCACATTTTCGTTACGTTCTGGATGCGCTCAAGCCGAAATTAGAAATGTCCATATGCCAAAGGTGGAATGGGATCGGCAGGGAAAGGGAATTGGGAAGGGAATGTAGATGATTTGGGCCGGGTCGGAAAAGGGGTCAAAAGGGGTTCTCAAGTTCCGAACTCAGTTTCGGGCCAAATGGCAACGACTCAGCAAGTTCTCAACTCATCGCGCTGTCCTTGGCTAACTGACGCACATTATTCTGAATTTAACAAACAATTTACTTTGAATGTGCTGCGCCTAATGGCCTTTTCTGCCTCGTGCTCGTTCTTCTTGGCATTCACCCCAAAAAACAAAGCCACTCTCGTTGGCCCACATACTCGTGCATGGAAACTGATGTGACAGGGCAGCTCCACATTTTCCTCTTTGGGCAAAGTGGAGCTGCTCCGTCTGCCAGATGTATTTCATAAATTTGTGGGCCACTTTCGGCGGCCTCTGAGGGAAATTGATAACTGTCAGGGATGGATGCTAACCGATTCGGTCAGATGATAATAAAGGATTTGACTTTGACTCGATTTGACCCCTCGGAAGATAACCTTTGATAAGGGAGTTCCAAATAAAGTAGGTTAAAGAAGCTTTGGTTCATTATTGCTTAGGTTTATCTCAAACTATGCTTGATGGGGCATATCAGTTTGAGTGACTTTGATTTTGTTAAAGAAACGTTAAACAACTTTAGACCACTTATAAATATAAAGGGCTTTGTAATAAAAGCTATAGTTTTATAATTAACATATAATTTGTGAACTACATTCAGTTAGAAAGTAAGAACCCTATATATGGACAGATATAATAGTTATAAAACTAATCTTTTAAATTTGTTGAATTGTAATTGTTTTGTATCTACATACTTTCTATTATTATCTACGAATTGTTTTGACCATAAGATAAAACTAAAACGCTTATCGAATGTTATTTTTCCTTTCCCCAAACCCATTATCGATTGGTTAGAAGCCCGCGCCGAAATCACGGGTCCCCCGATTCGATATCTTACCCCAGGATCGACGCTGCGGCTGCAATGCCGCGTGGTGCAGAATACCGAAGCCTCCGAGTATATATTCTGGTATCACGACAACCGCATGATTAACTACGACATTGATCGGGGCATTAATGTGTCAACGGAGCCAGGTGAGTGCTGGTTACCACCCCTTTTTGCTTTTTCCCACTTTTCACCGGTCTTAACCCTTTATCGACTGCTGTCCGTTGCAGACTTTCAATCATCGGAGCTTACCATTCAGCGGACACGGCGCGAGCATTCGGGAAATTTCACCTGCGTCGCCAGCAACACGCAACCAGCCAGTGTTCTGGTGCACATCTTCAAAGGTGAGTTGCACGGCAAAAATGCCACACACAATGGCTGGGTTACAATTTATGATGGTTTCATTGGCGCGAAGATGAAAACCGCACGAACATTGTGCATCAATTTCACATTTTCAGGAATTAAAATTGTGACAAAGACTTTTCTCAACAATATAGTTTATCCAGGAAGTATGCAAAAAATAATATTTTACAGCTTAATTAAAGTCACCTCACGTGGTTATTTAAACTGACAATGTATACTTAATTAATCAACATAATATTTTCCTTACGAAATGTTGCAAATACAACATAATATAAACCTTTGTGATTTAACAACCATCTGTTGGGATACCATAAAAATAAAGAAATGAACTCGGGATTAAAAAAAATCCTCCTTTTTGTCCGTGCACAATCGAGTTAAGCTTCGTAATGTGCCGGGGAAATTTCAATTTCAATTATGTCCGCCAAATGAAATTAAAACTTTGAATAAACAAAGGACTGCTCATTTGAGTAACCGTAATTTCTGTACATCTGTATCTCGGCAGCTGTATTTGCAAATGTATCTGTATCTGCATCCCGTATCTGTATCTGTATCCGGTAGCTCTTTTGCAGTTCATATATCAGGCGCATGGTTTCGTTTGGCTAAGAGGGAAAACAATAAAAGTAATTTATGAAAATTACACGGCCGCAAGCATGTGGATTAAAAATGCCCGCGCACGGTGCTGCAGAGCCAACCATTTGGCAGGCAAACTGCCATTAAAGCCAGGCCATAAACACGGCGACGGAAAGAGATGGGTAGTTGCTGAGAGAAAGAGACGGGTGGTGGGTTGAAGAAAGAGACGGGGGCTGTGGGCAAAGGAAAGAGAGGACGTGGGCTAACACAAACAAAGAGTGCCCACGTAGTTAGTGCCAGTCATAATTTATAAGTTTCTGGCGCGATGAAGCGACGACGCTCATTAGCATTTTGTTGGTTAAGCTCACACTTTGCTCCTCGCCGTGTGTGTGTGTGTATGTGTGTTTTTTTAATTAAATTTTTGTGCAAATTTCATTTTCATATTCTCCGGATTTCTCTCCTGCAGGCGACAATCCGGCGGCCATGTATCACGGACATGTGGGCGGCTCCACGAAGACAATGCAGTCCCAGCTGCATATGATTATGATAATCATTGCCAGCGGCTATCGGATATTCCACACGAGTGTATATATGAAGATCGTGTAGATGGCTTCCGTGCAGTAGACGATGGCCCAGGATGCGAGTCCCTGCCCCCAAGGAAAGGCATTTGTAACTACGTCATCAGCCGGAGGAGCTGGATACCCAGTTACCCCAACCGGGGGATTCCCCCAATCTTACACTAGTTTCTTCTCTACTACTTGCTAGCGGCATCTCCCGACATACGTACTACCATACTAGCATACTACCATACTACCATACCTAAAGCCTAAGCCACAACTATCAGAAAAGCGAATCAAACTTAAGAACTCAATCTCTGTCTCTATATAGCCGGTGTGCATGTATAGTATACAACACCCATCTTTTATATGTATGTGTGTGAGTGTGTTTCGTTAATGTGTAAGTGTCAAACTTAGTCACAGGATGCAGCTTATGCCGCACATGTATTATAAAAAGGTTAACTTTGCAGACTATTTAATTGAAGAGAGATCATTTCGAGGATCCAAAAAAAAAAACAGAAAGCCCAGTAATTCGTAGTTTGGATCCTGGGAATGCCGACGAGCTCAATATTAAGAACTGATGTGCATTTCCAATCTAGAATTCATATTTTTACAAGTCCCACTTTACGATTAAGAATTTAGTTTCAGCCACAACCTTCAATCATTTGGCTACGATTTATGCTGCATTGTACAGACAACCACTCAACTGATTAAAATGGATTTAGCTAAAGGAATTTGGTTCTACTCGAGAAAATGCTCTTCGAAGAAACTTTCAGATTTAAGCTGTAAATAAATTATTTGTTAAACTAAATTACATAAATAAACTATTACGTTTAAGAGTGGCTAATGGTTATTTGCAACATGTGCAAACAAATTTAGGGGTGCCCGAGAAGGTAAAGTTTATAAGTATTGCAACATTTGGCAAGAAGTTGTTAATCAAAAGAGGAAAAAGCAAAAACAAAAAGCGAACAGAGTAATCAAAATAAACTAATTGTCTAACATAAGGGATATTTAGCAATTTTTAATTAGTGGACATAACTTTTAACTGTCTTAGCAATGTGCAAATACAAAACATTGGCGACTAACTAAAAAATGAGAGGAGAGCTCAATCAAAATGGATTGAGGCAAGCTTCCAATGATTGTGTGTAAATATCGATTTGTGCAGCTGCGGAAATGATTTCTAGCCCTTAAGTCTGTGTAGTTAAATGTAACGAAAATTACCAAACCAAAAAAAAAAAAAACAAAGAAAACCATCATGAGAAAACTGAACAAATAAAACATAATAAAATTATGCAAAATACAAAAACCAGACACCCGGAGTCTTGATTAATGCGGGAAGTTGAAGCGCTGTTTTTTCTTTTTACTTTCAAGCTGGGTAACGCAATTTCAGAACGCCATCTGGGGAGCAGAGCGCAGTTCATTTCATTTCGGGCTCCTTGACTCGTCCTCGTCTTTCCCGAGTTAATAAAACCAAATTGTGTGTCGAGAATGACGAGAGATGAAAATAGCGATGACGATGGAGATGAAGATGAAGTTGATGGCCCTACGCGGAGCGACACTTGATGCCTGTCCTTCGGCTGCGATTTCTGCAACGCATCCTTCGGTATCCTGCAACCATGAGGCAACATGAGTGATGGCGGAAAGCCCGAGCAATGAGACTAATTAGGTTTTGAATCGACCACAGAAAGTTTCCCCTTCAATGGAACTTTGATTTGTTGCTAATTTCATTTTTGTTGAATTGCGAAACCCCTGCTTAATGAACTGCCCCGAACAGAGTGCAGCTCAGCAATTCGAAACTTGGCTTAAATAGTAGGGAGCAGTGTGCTCTGCTGCAATGCAATTTGATGGTTATGCCAACCGCATTCGAACGAGCAAAGCTCCTCGGCCACAAACTCGCACACAAAAAGCAAACATAGACACACTAAAACCGAAAGCAGATTGGGCCAAGAGTGTTTGTGAATGTGCCAATGGCCAAGAGGCAAATAAGAGCAGAAACAACAGCACAACAGCAACAAAAGTTGCCCACCACAACAGGCAACAGTTTCTGCATACGACCATAAACACACCCTCAAATATATTGTTATTATGTGTTATATCAAAAGCCACTCATGGGGGGGCGCTCAGGGGGCGTGGTCGTCGCTGCAGGCGGCCAAATAGAAAAGTCAAGTCAGCACACATCTATCCACAGGGAGTTGTCGAAGCCATAGAAAAACCTGGCATTCATGGCTGGTTCTTTTATTCCATGAATCATATGGAGAAAGCTAATGAAGTGGGCTTATGGAAGCTCTCTTAGAAGACCCTTAAAAAATTACAAAAAATTATAGCACTATGTTGCAAAGTGTACGATGAAAGCAAAAGTTGCAACAATTTGATAATAAAAATTAATGTAGATTACTCAATGACTTTTAATTACAAAATACAAAATGAAAAGATATTTCTTCATTAGGAGGATTTAGCTTATGAAATAGGGCAATAAGGACTTAAATTTTAAATGAGCATGCAACTTGTTATTTAATTAAACCTTCAATTTGTCTGTCTTTATATTTCAATAGACATATTTACAAATATTTAACATATGCAGAGTAAGAAATTGCACACCAGAACCTCTTTGCAAAATTCAATGCGATAAAGGAAATCTGTGCCATTGTCTGGCACTAATTCCTTTTGGCATCAAATAAACATACATCTCCGTTCGGGCACTCATTAAGTCATTCTCGACAGTGAATGGACCACTGAACAGCAATGGCCGAAAGGCAGGCCAAGTGAGGCGTGAATTTCGGCCATGTCAACGCATAATGCGTCGAAGGACTAAGGACGAAGGACTATAACACCCCGAAACGGGGCCTGGGGGAAATTTAAGAAATGCAAAACGCATTATAAGTGTATTTATGTGTATGTGTAGCGCGGGAGGGGGGAGGGTGTATCGGGATGATGGCAGTATGTGTGTGTTAGCCGTTGTCGGTCAAATGCGCACACACAATGCGCATACGCCATGTAAGCCGAGGCATTGTATGAGCGTGAGCCTGTGGACGCCAAGTCCGGATTCTTCGCCTGATGCCTGTCATAAAAATTCCAATTTAGTTTCCAATTGCTTGACTTAAAGTGCTCCGCCATTCATGCGAGTGTCTCTCTTTATGTATGTGTACGATGGCACTTCATAATAAACTTAACGACGCACAATTATGCTACAAGTTGGCAGTTTGGGAGCAGCGGATGGACGCACCAAGCGAATGCAAAGCACAGCAATTTCCGAAGGCGTTACTCATACGCCCCGTGGCCCTGGACAGAAACGCTTTACATTTAGACGCGTCTTGTAATTCAAAATGACAGACACGTACTCGCACATCGAGAAAGCGGCCTGCTGAAATGCTCTGGCGATGGTTTTATTATCGCCCCAACCAGAAATCGATAGCCATTGTGTGCGAGAGTTGAAAGTGGCAGGCGAAGAGCCTCTCAGAGCCATCACCATTCATTAGGGCATTAGTTTTGAGTGCATCGAGCACACTCCAACTCCGGACTCACAGCTCAGGACTCTCGAGTTGTCTGCCTTGAGTTCTGATCCCTGTCTTGTGGCCTAGGCTTTTGGGAAATTCTTTCATCGATTCCAAATTTCATTAAACTTCATCGGAGTTTACCACAATTGAGAGTTTTTAACTTAGTTTAGGCCACAAATTTGTTGATTTAGGAATTGGTCATTCAGCAATTAAATTGTTATTGAGTTGTGGTTTAAAAATAAATTCCCAATTGCAATTTATTCAAAAATAAGCATTTAACGCTTTGATAAAATATTTAAGAGTGAGCCAAGACTAAAGCAATCTAAAACAATCATTAATATTAAACATTATTCCGTTTGGCTTTCACAAGTCGTGCCTTATTTCAACCTTGCTTGATGCTTCACATTGCAATCAAATCAAATTGTGAATGCCTCGAAAGCCTCTTAAAGCGCCCGCTTACTGAATGCCCAATTACCGAAACTTTTACTGGCAGGCTAAAAGCACTTTAAGTTAACATCTCAACCATTAACTCAAGGTCGCATTCGCCTCTTTTGTGTGCGCATAATGGAAAACAATTATTTGGCCAACTTACACGCGCACACAAGCACAAACGGAATACTAAGCACACATACTTGTAGAAACGAGCCGCAGATTAATCGAACCCGATTTAATATAGGTAGGCAAACACAATCACCTAGACAGGACAATTGGGAAACAGGAGTCCTCTTCAGACTGCAAAAGAATGGGCACAGTGGAAAAATTACTAAAAAGTTTTGGGGGAAATATTGCATTCCTATCAAAAAATAATACTTCTGATTTTAATTATTGCAACAGGGTTAAATAAATGAAAACCTCAATCATTAAATAGTAAGCAATTAGTATTTTTGTTTTGAATTAAGGTCTGCAGGATTTCGAAAGGTAAGATTTAGATTAGAAGTATTTATGATACCTAGTTGTACCATTGTGATATTTAAGTATGGTCTATTGGAGTGTACTTTTTGTTGCCACTGTGTGAGAAAAGCAAACTTTGGTCATCTCCAGAGTCCCTCGATGGCCATCAGCAGATGTTCGGGGCGTGGCCATATTCGAACTCATTACCACACACGCAGATGAGTCTTATTTGCGCTTAGCATTCCCCACGCAAAACTCTTTGATGTAATGAGGGCCAATTAGGCCAAGCTTACAAGTGCAGGCGGCCAAAATAGCACGTGTGGGTGGGGATTTTTGTGGGTGGATCGGGCATCTGTTGCGGACATATTGAATTGTTATTGTTATGTTGCAGTTTTGTAGCCAATTACTTGAGCATGTGCTGACCCTTGCCACTGTTCGCCGCTGAAATCTGTTTATTTCTGTACTGCTCTGCGTTTGTTTTGTGTGCTGGACCCAATTATTGTGACATGACATGGCCTGTTGCATGTTTCGCCGGGGAAAATCGGAGAGAGCGTGCAATATTCATGGGGCAAACATCCAGCAAAAGGAATGCACAGAGAATATATCTGGAATTTCTTTAAGGTTAACAAAATATATATATTTTTTTAAGCCAGAAAAACGCAAATTCATTTTATTTCAAACTTTCTCATTAAAAATAATAAACCAAGTGTGACTTTTGTGACTTTTAATTAACTTTCATTGAAAAAACAGTGACTTTTGTGAAAACACAAATTAAATTCAAGGACCCACAATTGAATTTATTTATATTTATCGAATAATTCAATTTGGGTCTGTTATTTTTTCCGTGTGTCTGAAAAAGTAAGCTAAACAAATACATTTTTTGCTTCTGGTTGCCTGCCAGTCTGTTTGCGGCCTATAAACAAGTTGTGCGGCAGAAACAGAAAGCTTTAAAAATAAATTAAACGCCATAAAACAAAAGGATTAGCTCGATGGCATGTCCGCAAAAACAGGATACAGGATCCTGGGCGAGTGGCAAGTGGCAAGGGGCAAGGGGTGGCCATAAACAAAGCGTGGCAATGACAAAACTTAACCCTAAGCAAAAGACAATAAAAACACTTAAAGCGAGAAGCCCACACACACACATGTATGTATGGCATGGCATAAGGAATGGCCGCAATGACCCAGCTAAACATAAACAAAAACGCAAAATGGCGCAAACATGCCACAAAGCAAAGAACAAAATGGTGGGCGGGGGGTCGGGGGGTGTGGGGAGGTGAAAGAGAAACAAGTGTAGCGCACATGAGAGATATGAACTAGAAATAAACAAATATTTCGTATTCAAGCTGGGCACAAGTGCGTCTATGGGCCCTTTCCCTCCTGGTTGCTGTGAAATTAGTTGGCAATGATAAAGATAAGTAACGTGAAA